AATAGGGTTCAATTCCACCAGTCCAAAAAAGGGCGGTCCATTTGAATTGTTAACCGGGAAGGCAGTCATTCAAGATTGGAGGCAATTTTAAATATATATGAAGTTGCAACATCGAGCAATGAATGAGTTGGTGGACTCGAGTTGGATACGGGAACCAGTGAACAACTACCTCGGCAAACATCCTTTGTGCAGGCCAAACTTTCAGAAACAGTTAAATATATATGAAGTTGCAACATCGAGGACGCAATGAGTTGGTGGACTCGAGTTGGATACGGGAACCAGTGAACAACTACCTCGGCAAACATCCTTTGTGCAGGCCAAACTTTAAATCAGAAACAGCCTGGCCATCACAGCGAGGGAACCACGAGCCTACAACGCTATCAGGTATGGATGGCGTGGATCAGTAGCCTATTATTTCTCCTTTTGGGATAACTGGGTGAAATATAACCATGCATCTGTTTGGTACCGTTCTTTAGGGGCAAAGGACAGACAAGTGACTGAAGGACCCACAGGCCGGAGTCAAATGAATTGATCATAACTGGACTCGCTTAAAAACCTGCGTACCACCAGATGTCAATTCGTGGTGGGACGCGATTGGAGCATCTTACGCCCGAAGTTATACCTAAAGGCAGCTCCGCTCAAGCAGTAGATGTCAGACACAACAGTTGTATCGCTTGAACCTCGAAGACGTGTTCTTACCGGTTTCAATACAATTCAACCCAGCAGTCAGACGTTGGGTGGAAAATTGTGCATCTGGTGGCCGAGAAGTACTAGGAATATAGAAGGTTAGGGAAATCAAAGAAACGACGAGTGCCGGGAATTCATTAAACTTATTCTAGTTAGTCCGCACGATGCACCATCAAGTCAGTTTGATCAAATGATCCTCAACAAAGGAAGCATCTCAATTAATGGACAGAGAAATCTGAACCAAGATTCTCGCCTTCTCTTACTCCCAAAAGGCACGAACTCCGTTCAGCTTCGTTAATTTATTACTGCATATCTTCTTTCAACTGTCGTCAAAACGCTGGTACGGATGATACATTATTCAGCGATGGGAGTAAAATCCTCAGACAGCTTTTATCTGAAAAAAAAACCGTCTAGACGACTAGAGTGAGTCAACTGTCATGCTTATTTCCAAAGAAAGGGGCCGGAGTAAGTGCGGCACTCAAAAGGGGACAAGAGTGGTGCCTGTTGTAACCAAGCTTAGAGTAATTTATTGTTTGCCGTATTATGACATCAATAAGACCCAGTGATTAGGGCGCAGATTCACCGACCGGATGGTCAGTGGTTCGAACTCAAACCCGATATCTCGACTGATTCTGTTTATGCTTGCGCAATTTTACAGTACCTATGCTCTCGTGCTTCCGTTGGGTAGTATGGCAGCTAGGCACCGAAAAGGCATTACAGCTGAACGATGTATTGACTTAAAGGTGGCAAGCGGGAGTTTAGCCTGGTGGCGGTTGGGTGATCATATCTTCACACTCCGTCAGGTGCCGGACCAACGGCACGTGCATCAGCAACCAAATACCCTGGTAATCCAAGATTTTCAAGGTGCACTTGGCACTCTTTACCGGTTGATTTTATCTAAGACCCTTGCTAAACAGGACATTAGGTATGTGAGTTCACTGTATTCTCAGACCTGCGGACGTGAGAGTATATTGGGAGCTCTTCGAAAGTTTCCCTGCAGAATGAGATATCAGAAACCAAATCAACTGGTATGCGATTCTGTGATTCAAGTGATAATGAGGTAAATTCCGGAAGGCCTTTAGAGCCCTGAGGTTAAAGTGATTGCCGACGGAAACCCTGACCTGAAATATGAATGCGATGTCGTTCTCCTCTTCGAATCAACTGATTCAAGTGACTTCGTGCTTTCGCACATAGTGTAAGGTCATGCCGCTGAACGCACCAATTTCCATCTAAGGAAAGACTCTGGGGTTATGGGGCTTTCTGAGTGTTTTTGAGTGATTTGGGAGTTGCATTAAATACAATGGCGACGCGGTAGATTAGGTCGGGCCGTACAGAGAAACGCCGTCGTCAGCCCAGTGCATTTACAACGAACTACTGAAAATTTAAACAGTAAGCACAAAAAATCACTAAAACATGTCGAGCCACGGGTGCAGCGATTAGAGCAACCGTACCTGGTGACAAGCTTGTTGATCTTTTCTTCGGCCACATGAACAGACTATATCAACACGATGTTGACAAGGTGGCAGTTTTGCAGCTGTGCGGCCGGAGAAAGCATGTGTCCCCCTTTTGACCGCTAGTGCTGCCTGCAAACAGGTCTGACCTTTGGCTTCGTGACAGGGCAATTTGCAAGGGTGCCCACAATCCGGCCTAAGTTTTTTGCACGGTTGTGAACACGGGTAAGCTTGTTCGGAGGCACAGGGCTCAATACAATCACCAACGTGGCATGGCCTCTGGCAAGTGTGAGAACAGCGAGGCAGCCGCTTTCCACACGCGCGACCACAACTGAGCACAGGCTGGAAGCAAGGCATACTGAATTGGACTCCATGACCTTTAATAGTGGTGAGAAAAAAGAGAATGGGTATGCCAGATGAACAATAAACTGGCGGAAATAGCCATTAGCAACGTAAGTTGAGAGGCTAAATTTTAAGGTATACAACGAACAGAAACACTGGTTACACATAAGTGGTGAAACACAATATTGAGTCGAAATAAGACTCTCTTCAGTGATTTATTATAAATCTACCGCTAGGAATTTCCCGTAGGCACATTCCTAATGAGACCCGAGTATGTTCGTTTCGTGGGTTGTATAAACCAGCTTGTTGGAAACCGCTGGATAGACTATAATCAGCCCTCCTATCCCCAAAAACGCCAAAGAGCTTAGGACTTTCCGAATAAAATTCAGACAGCTGGCTCCACCACTTACCGCCTGGACATTCTTTAGTAAGCAGAACAGTGCAAGGGGGACAGATGGGATCATTGTGACAAGTGTGTCGAACGGGATGATCACAGTCGTGGACGCGATTGCACGGCTGAACACATTCTGGTCCGATTGAACCGCAAGGCTGAGGTGGCGGTAGAACAGTGAGACCGCAGCGACAGTAGAGTTCCGTATAGATAACACCACGCCAGCAAGTAGCGCAAGGCCCGGGGTGACACGGCTCCTCGCAGTTGTGCCTCTGACAAGTCAGACGTCGACCACAAATCTCCGAACAAGAGTGAGCAGTTAGCTGGAGGGTGGTTAAACAAAAAATGATGGTACTCAGATAAAAAATAACAGATTCGCAATCAGTGAACTGACAAAGATCATCCGAAGTCACCAAAACGTAAATTGCGAAAATCCCGCTCCTGAACTAACCAGTTCTTCAAACATTCGCCAAGGACGATTGTCACAATATTATTGTCAACAGTTTGATAATCCTTTAGAGGCCGACGAATCTTAGGAGCATACGATCCGCTTGAATTTTAGAAGATAAATTGTCACCTTAAAGGAGGAACATTTGTTTCAAACAAAACTCCCTAATCTGGGTGGTGACACAGGTTCTCGCGATAAATTTGATTTTCCAGTCGCCCAGCAAGTACGCGTCAAACGTGGTTCGAGTTGCTGTAGCATATAGTTGCTGAAAGCTCAACTCGAGACGGCCGACATTGCTTGATCAGTCATGATACAGCGGGAAAATATCGAAAAGAGGATCGTAAAACAGAGTTCAACGGGTACCTAATCGTTTGAATGAAATCTGACAACACTAGACGGGAGACATACACCACACCGAAACCGCAGGAACAACATGAGTAAATACCCTAAAATATTGAGGGATAAATAGTCGACACATGGAGCAGTTTAGCCCGAAGTACAAGAAAGCACTCCCAACGTTGTTCGGTTATTCGGTCGACCGTAGTTAGTCAGTCACAAGAGATGAACTTACGTCGCAACATTTATTTTTGCATTTGTGACGACCGCAGACCTTTTTTCGCTTGCAAATTCGTTCGCAAAGCATTTGCAGCAAGCCTAAGTGAAAAGCGAATAAAAGTAAAACAAAATGTGGTATGAGAAACTAAGTATGTGGTGAGTCATCCCTCGAACATACACAAAAGGGTATCACCCAATCCAGTGGCACTGAAGGTAAATGTTGGAATTTGTTTCAAAAACAAAAAGGTTAATTCTACTGCGTTGGGAACACTTGCGGAGTATAGTCATCCCAGTCATGACGCCGGGATATTGGTGGGGTCCAACAGAAACCTCAATAACTGACCGGTGTATCGTAACACCAAATGAATGTCGCTCATAATTAGGCCGGCATCTAAGCATCCGGAGTCTAGACATGTAGTTGCACGCACCGCCTTCATCCGAGTTGCCGAAAAAAGCGCGACAGAACACTAGTCACGAGGTTTTGTCGACAGTAAGGGGAATGATCCAAGCGACCAGGTACTCAATCACCGAAAAGCAATTAGGAACGCCCTTCGCTGTTATTAAATAGGGACATACAGAAAGCATACAAAAAGGCATACATTTAGGATTCCAAGCTCGAAGGAGATACTAGGTGTTAGAAGAACGAGCAGTAAGAGGGTTGGACTTACCTTCAGTCCTAGCTAGTTCCTCGAACCGCGCGCAAGTTAGTTCCTTTGAGGTGCGACCACAACGACACTTTGCAGTGGTTGAGAGTTCGCACGGTGGACAAGGTCCTGAATGACAAGTCAGGGGACACGGATGCCCACACATCGAGTGCGGCCGGGCGCATACATTGGGACATAGAGGCACAGGATCAACACACGAAGTCCTATCTCCAGAAACATCTCCTGACAAAACCTGGGAGGAAGAATGAGAACGACATGCATTACTGTTTTCATCACGCCGCGAAAGTAAGTATATTTGGAAAGTAGGTGGGTGGTGTGTGCGTTAACAAGTCGAGGGGGTGATTATTCACCACTGAACGACCCACCGTGAACGCTGCCAATCGGAACAGAGTTCTAATTCCCCACTACACCGGCTTGCTGCTCAAGGAGCACTATTCAGTGTTTATGCCATACTGCGTCAAACGTGATTTCACGTTCAATGTGGAATTCTAAAAACACCTTTTAACAAGACTCAGTACTGAGAACAGCTATCTACCTAAGAGGCTACCGATGGAAACAGGTAGTTGGGTTGCACTCCAAGTTATAGCTGACACCGGACGTGATTGTTGACTTGCAAAGGCGGCGATCCACCTTGGAAGATATCCTTATTGCTGTACATTGCTGTACGAGCATCCTCTAAATCCAAATAGTTCGTCTCCTTCGTCGTCTCGTCGTGCCGACTATTGATGATAAGTCTGACTGCCCGGTCCGTTCAATCACTTGAGCTCCACCCAAGTGCAGACAATATGCACAAGAATGCGCGCGTCCTCGGTTGAAGAATCCAATATCTTCTATGTCGCATCACGTGATTATTCAACGAAAAATACGGATGTATGATAAAGTTGTTAACCTCTAGATGGACTTCCTGAAAGGAACGACGCTGAAGAACAAAAAATCCCCTCTTTTATTACCGTTTGTTCTCGTAGAAAAAATGAAATTAAATGCACGTGGTTTGCAACGGGGAGCAAGTGATAACAATAGGTCCTCAGGAGAGATCGTTGCCAAAAAGAAGATCCGGCCCTTATTGACAGTAGGTCATGGCGGACCAACAAGGAGAGCCGCTTTTTCCCACGGAGGATCACTGTACATCACCGAAAGTATCTAATCTAATGTGGACATGTAAATCACACCCTAATACTACTACTACTATTACTACTACTACACGGTGTTTGAATGAGGTGCACCATACGCTGTGCCGCATAGTCACCCGATCCGTTTGTAAATTGAAAAAGAAAAATCATAAAATGCCGCGAGATGTCAGGGTACACAGTTAGCAACCGCCGTACAATAGCCCGTTGTAAACATGACACGTAAAATCCTCAAAACAGAGCTTACCAGTTTGGAGAGAGCCACTCGGCCACAAGGGCAAGTGAAACAACGCGAAGGTTCCAGTGAACAGGGCTTACAGTCTCCCGAATGACAAGGATCTGCACAAGTGTGATTCCCACAGCTCAGTTGTTTTTCGCACGTTCGCGAACATGAAAATGAAGAACCCAGTTTGACGACAGGTGGAATGAGTAGCGGAACTAATGGTTTCTGTGTGTCTACACTTTTCGATCCATCCTGACTCTGTGGGACATTCGTCACCGGAGTGGAAAGTGCCACAGCATGCAGGGCTTCAGAGAGAAAGCTGGCTTGGTCACGTGAGCTGTCCATGTCCACCTCTGAGCGTTCCGCAGCGATTTTAGTCAGATCCATGGACTGGAACTCTACATATGCTGTCTGTATCAAATCTTGTATGCTAGGCGTGAAATCAATTTTCTTTGCATCTTCACTTCCGCAAATAATCGTCTTTTCCTCTCGTCCACAAAAGCAGGCTGAAATTCCAGGGATGAAAAAAAGCATAAGGGAGGGGGTCTCATCTACACGATTCGAAGATAGCGGTCATGTGGAACTACGTGACTTCTACCATGACAACACAGAGAGCTATGCATTTCGCACAAGGAAACAGCGTGCAGTTCAGGTGACCTCTAGGTAGATTCTATTGATCCACTCAATACCGTAGCTTCAGTATGATTAAAGGGTACCAGTGTTATTGAAGGAATACGTATGAACATCATTGTTGGGCAGCTACATATAGCTAATGCTGCTGAAGACTACATCCAGCCACACTTTTTCTGTTGGTCGTGACAACAGTGCATAACCATAATACTAGTAACAGTTCGTGTACGTCTTACTTCAAGGTAATTAGCGTAACGTCTGTGAACCGAATCTAAGAGAATCATGCAATATGAAGCGAACGCAGTTTACCCAGAGCATAAAACTGACCCAAGGTTTCGTGTGACATGATTTTGCCCTACAAATATGGTGTGATGGCCACACGAACTGGTTGCTACTGAGTGAACACGTATATGTTGCTGTGTGACAGAGGCAGGGTAGTTGGATGGCCTACTGGACAACTCTACACACAATCTGCTGGAGTCCGGAATTTCAGAGTGAAAGACAATGTACAGCGACCCACGGAAGAGGTAGTTGAAAAAACTTCAAAATTATACTCGTAAGATACATATAAAAGCAAGTCTGATGAAAACCAACCGATTTCTAGCTGCCAGGGGCAAGGCGGGCACTGGTCGGTGTGACAACCATATAGACATGTGTGTATGCCACAGGCACAAGAGCAGCCTGTTTCACTGAGACTTTGGCTGCACAGTTGTCCACATGGTGCAGGAGGCGCATCCCCACATGCCATAGATTGTTGTATGCGACCGCAAGGACAGGTCATCGAGACCCGTGTAACGCAAGGTGGACAAGGACCAGGGTGACACAGCCTAAAGAGAGAGAAAAGAAATGAAGTTTGATCTTTTTAATATAGGGCGTAGTTAAATGTGAGTCAAAGGATACTACGAAATTTCACGTAGAATTTCGATCAATAAACCATTCCCAATAGGCTTAGCTGTAAGCCTCCCTAACAATATTTCACGTGAATACACCATTGGTCTCCTTTGTTGTCTCTAAGATTGACTGTCACTCTTAGAAATGTACTCACCGCTGACACAGGAAATTCTAATGGTAGAAATCCAGAGACTTCAACTGATACCGCGATGCACTGAGAAACACCATCACAAGAATTCCTCGCGCTTACATCAGAATGATCATTCAAAGATTCCCATCGGTATATTGGGTGAATACATACTAAGTCTCATGCTGCAGGTCTAAAAACTCATAAAGCGACAAATCAGATGAACAGTTAGAGGTTGGGATTGTTCGGTCGTCGGCGAAGCTCAGACCTAGATGAAGAAAAGTCTGGGTACCAACCATCCGAGCGAACGTGGAGAAATCTTGATCTCTATGCTGCCTGTGACATTTGAATTTGAAAAATGCGCCTCGTAAATGATCACCTTTCTCAAGCGATAATCATGTGTGATCAGTCGCGAAAAAGGGTACTCCGTCCATTCTAACCAAATGCACCGCAACTACACATGAAATCAATAGTTTCTGAAGGTAGGTTGCACCACGTGGCACTATTCATCATGTTCATTCAGATTGGGCTCCGAACTACACATGAAATCAATAGTTTCTGAAGATAGGTTGCACCACGTGGCACTCACTATTCATCATGTTCATTCAGGTTGAGCTCCATAGTTACCTTCGTCATGGACAATCACGTGCGTCCCACGTTCGATTGGATGTTGAAATCTTTGTTAACACTATGGATGTTCGCTTATAATCCGTGTACTCTGCTAGTTTGGATGAAAATAATCACCAACAAACTGGAAGCCTCACAGCCCAAATTCTCATCCGTTCACTATCAAAAACGCCACTCATATCATGTGATATCCATTCTGACGGTGTTCTCTGAAACGACTACTTTTCAAATACGATTTATGGCAGTGCAGGCAATGAGACAAACTATTGGTCCCAAAAAAGGACCCCCTATCTGATGCGAGTTGGTTGGCCTGGTTTCTTAGTCATGATAGGGAGGAACGCCCCATTCGTGTAAAATATACCTGCACTTACCTAAAAACAATAGCTACCTTATAGAAAGATTATCAAGTGTTGTGCTCCGGCCAATCAAACTTACTCCGTACAAGGGTGCGTACACATAGTTTGGCGCAAATATTTTGTACTCTCGTCCTTTGGCCCGGATGATGTCCGCAGCTTCCCGCACATCTCATCACAGCCATGTGGGATGCTTGTTCGAGCCGGGTGATACTCTGGATTACGGACTCTTCCACAGAAGCATATATATTCCAATGGTTGGTCCTTACCATCCTCATCGCACACCTGTTTGGTTTGGCAGGCCGGACAGCGCCAACAGGCTTGAGATGTCACATCGGACTGCTCGCCGGTGGCAGTAGCTTTGCACTTTTCAGCCCAAGATTTGATGCAAGATAAGTGATAGATGTGAAAACAGGTGGAACATGACCAGATGGGATCACGCTGTCGGACACGTGAGATACAGATCAGACACTGGTACTGTCCATGACGCAGCTGGTGGATCAACTTTTCTATGCGAAAAATCAAATGTAATAAAGTGGATACAAAAAGGATGTTATTACCCATTAGCGAAGTAAAGGAAGAGTCAAAGCACCAGAAAACCATACTTGAGTCCAAATAGGATAAGAATAAGTAAGGTAACGACAATCCCCAGAAGCATTTCGTCGAGGGCAGTACATACTACTCAAATGAACACATTCCGATGGATATTAACCCAGCAACACCGCAGCAATAAGTATTCGTCACGGTGAACTGAATAACTGGCTGTTGGCCGACAAGAAGAGTAACCAATCTCCCATTCATCAACCCGTGAAACAAAAAATATAAGAAGCAGGAAAGCTACCGCACTTCTAGCACCTTCAAAGAATTACTTCAACATCTGCCTGTTGGGCAGCGAGTTTAAACCCGAACTGTCCCTCTGTCTGCCTGTTGGGCAGCGAGTTTAAACCCAGTTTAAACCCGAACTGTCTGTTTCTTCCCTCTCCACTTATCCTTTTCACTGAACGCCAGCTGCGGAGACATCTTACAGCTCGATCCACAGAGCGTCCAGCACCTGGCGACGGGTGCAGATGCACACCAACTCAGCAGTCTACGTGGCTCAAGTATTTGTGACTGACAGCCACCTACCTTGAGCTAACCACTTCCAGAACCGTGGAGAGAAAACTCAACAAACGGTCAGCTCCTTTCTACCTGTCCATTATAATATTCACCCCTACTTGATTCCTCTGACAGCTAACCTCTTACATGGTTTTAGTCAATACTCAACGGCTGCTTAACCTCACCTTCTGCAGCCGGTCCTCAGCGATGTCAGGTGTCAGTAATTTTGGCTCCTTCCCCTGAGAATTCCGCGTCCTGAGTGATCAATAAATTTTGTTCGATAAAACTATTCAGGTGTCAATCCCTTAGCTAACTTTCGGAGTCAGTGAACCTTTATTCCCAGAAGGTTTCTACCAAACAGCTTGCTATCCCAGAAATCGAAAGAAACGCATACGCAAGCGCCGATAAGCCTAAGAGAAAGTGTGCTTATCGCAATACTACTCAACAGATCTTCACTAAAACAAGAAACTAGAATTTCTGTCCTCGGGCCTTCCTTACCTTCCTTGAACAGTGGAGAGGCACGAACTGATCGAGGCTTAGAGGATTAGAAAAGCTGTGGAGGTGGAAAGTGAACACAATGTTGGAATTGTACGCATAATGATTTAGCGGCAGGTGCCACAGGTTTTTGTGAACATCAGGTACACGAAATCATCGTTTATCACAATGACTGTTCGACACAGAAATAAGGAACAAGGCTTGGACCAATGTGAGGAAAATTTCGAACAATCGTTTCATCATCTCCGAGGTGCCTCAGTGGTTAGAGCGCGACTTTACTGACCGGAAGGTCCATGGTTCAAACCCGAACTATGCCTTGCGACTTCCTCTGTCAAGGTTTGGGTAATCTGGCAATACCATGGCCCTCGTGCTTCCTTCTGATGGCATTGCAGTTAGGCACCCAAAAACAGCTACACCTGAAAGAACCAAACGAACCCTCACGTTATCGACAGTATGAAATCGGCGCTCATCGCTGATGCCGTACAACCATGATTCATTTGCAAGCCTTATTGTTAAATAAAGAATAAAAGTGGACGGGAAGGAACTTAAGACTACTCTACCACAAGCATTGCGAGGTGACTACACCTCCAGACGCTCACTAAGGCAATCTGGATGGGGACTGAAAACAAGGACGCCATTGACGTTGATTAACAGTCATATCTTGCAGCCTCTCCAAACAGTTGCAGCGGGGATTACGCGGCCCCCTTCCCGGAAGAAGAGTTGCACCGATAGTACCAAATTTCCACATTCTCAGACAATGATTTTCGGGTATCTCAGTTCCACTGCTCGAACAGGTCAAGTCTCCCAGCCATACAACAAAATAGTCCGTATTGTAGCCTGATACACAAGTCCCTTGAGACTCAGGGATATACCGCTTTTATACCATAGGGGTCTCAAATTGGTAAACGCGACCCGAGCCTCGCAGATTCATACATCGATCTTATCTGTCACACTACAATCAGAACTAACACGAGTTCCAAAATACGTAAAACGCTCCACAACTTCCAATGCCTCCCCTAGATTGTAGGTGGCGTGTACAGTAACTGCATGTTCACGAGCATGACCTTACACTTTGTGGGAGCGAAGTACATACCAAAGGAAGGGATGACTTTGGTCAGTTCATCCAAAAACACCTGCGGATTCTCATCCACTTCAAAGACAAGTACTATGTTGTCTGAACATTCCAGATCGACAAAGTTCTCGTCACAGGCCATTTGAACACCGGGGTTTTGCAGGCTTTCCAGTTTTCGTCTCATTATCCCGTCGATCACGAAAGTAAATAGGAATGGAGAGGGTGAACCCCTCTGACAGACACGCCTTTGCGTACGGAACCTTTTGGAGAGCTCTCCGTATATTCATACATGCCCAGATAAATAAGGCTGCAGTGCATGCGGTTTCGTTCGGCAGACCAGAGGCGTTCTTTTTCAGCGCCATGGTTGGAGTAGGCTGGTGTCGATTAGTTCGGGTTGCGTGCGCAGTATAATTTAGCCGATCGAGTTGCGGTCCCCTGATTATGTTGTGCGCACGTTGAATGACCAGTTACCGAGAATAGCGCTCACGTGATCCTGCCTGTGTTTGTTTCAAGACGCTGCCCACCGATCGTAATGGCGTATCCGTCGCCAGATTCTGTCTGAGGTGAAGATACCCCATACTGTTTCGACTAGACTAGCACTAGTCGCCTTCACTTTCCACTCTACTCCTCTTTTCAACTGGGGACCCGCCCAACTAATGAAGAAAGTGTAGTCGCATGGATGTGAATCACCAATACACCGTTAATGTCGAGAATGATGGAACGGTTCAACGGGTACATACGTTGTCAGAAACCAAATTGTATGGCTGATTTTCGGGTACGCGCTCGAACTTCTTGTGAACAATTATTCAAGTAACGTGTCAGTTACGATGTTACGGTGACTCAACAGATTTGTCGACTGGCCTAATCGGTGTTGAGATGGATCTCTGCTGTAATGGATACTATGACAGATCGGGTGCACTGGGGCGGGATGGTTCAGTGGTAAAGAGCGCGAATTTCCTGACCGGAAGGTACGTGGTTCGAACCTGACCTCTGCTTCGCGGCTTCCCCTGTCTGGGCTTAAGCAACCTGGTAGTATCCCAGCCCTCATGCTTCTTTTGGGTGGCATGGCAGCTAGGCACCGAAAGGGTGTTACAGTTGAACTCTTTACCTTATCTAGTGGGGCTAGCAGGATCCTGCGCAATTTCATACTCCAATGAAGTGCTAGGCACTATCCCTGAACTATCATAGGACGAGCGAAAAGCGTTTCTGATAAACTCGGTCGAACAATCAACATGAAACAGAAGCATGAATGGCTTCAGGAGTTGCCAACCTTTGATACCCACCTCAAAGTTGCGTGAGTTGATGGTGAACAAAGTGATGATATATCAACTGATTCTCTTTTTAATGCTCCAATTTCTAGCCAAGTCCAACAAGAACTGGTGCAATCCACTGCCTCCCCTCCGACATATCTTACACGCCCTTCTGTCTCAATCCCAAACGCCTGAACATCCACTCGATCTCTCCTCATTTGGTTACTTTCACTAAGTTAAAGTCCGCAGGTATTGGGAAGAATCCCCTACCTTTTAATTGGAGATCAACTATGGAAAACTCTTTAGCCCTGTCTCCAGAGCTTTGCGCAATATACCAATGTTGAATATCCAAATGACCGCTTACCAACCGACCTACCAATTCTCTGTACGTTACCCATTCCATGAGTGCCTATTCGCAATGCTTTACAGTGTTCACTTTGGTTATTTAATTTTTAAAACTCTTACAGGGCCTTCTGACTACATAGTGGCGTCTTCGCCGTTCCTACAGCAATCCTCCTCTGAAGAAAAACCACTCCGCCTGAGCCCAGGAGGGATTCGCGTCTGTTGCAGCCCTGCGTGCGACTGATACAGTGAAACCCATCTTTCCTTGTAACGCACCTCGAAAGGGGTTATTGCATCTGAGCTACATTGGTGCCTTCAAAAGACAAACATCATAGGAATTGGGCTCAAACAATCGATGCTTGTTGGTGTGGCATGATACCACAAAACTCAAACGTAAAGACTCAGGAAACCAACCTCGTAAATTATAATCAACATCGTCCATAGTTCGGTAAGGAGTTATTATCATAGAAGATGAGATGCCAACTAGCGGACTACTTGCAGGTTCAGGAGTCTGGCATACAACATCGATCACTGGCTCCTCTTCAGAAGAGCTGTCTACACTGGTTGGCTGCAGTTCAGACGGTTTGTCCGAGGTGGCTGGTTCGGGTTCTGGTGGACTGTCCGGAATGTTTGGCTGGGTTTCCGATGAGCCCGACGGTCCCTGCACATTCGCTCCCCGTTTCTTCCGCCTTCGGCGAGCCGGTAGTACAGGTTTCGGTTCATATGTTTGATCGTTTGTCCTCCTCGAAGTGGAGCCACGTTGAGATTCCGACGGATGCTGAACTCGTCCCGTTCGAGGGTTCGCTCCGGGATCCAGACGCTGGTGATTATCGGGTTGGTAGTACGGATTTGGATACGGATAAGGCCGTCGTGGTCGATAACTCTGGGCGTAAAACCGTTCACCAGGGGACCCAGATTGTCTGCTAGCAGGGTGTACGTAACCGTATCCATTATAAGGAACCCCGACGTAGCCCGCGTAGAATGCCGGTGGATAACCATACCGTTCCGTGTAAAAACCAGCCAGATAGTGTGGCATCCGGTGTCCATAAGGATCAGGATTCGAAGGACGCCGGGTGCCTGAATAACTCGGCCTCATGCTATACGGGTTCACCGAGCTGTAGAAAGCAAGAGCACTAGAACCTCACAATCACGCGGATATAAGCACTAAATAATGTGAGACCATCTGGCTGCAAGGTAACAAACACAGACTAGTAGGTGTGTGCCTTTATTTTACTCCGAGATGCATACAGAGTTCTTTGCCGATTTAGAAAGATCCTAATCACTGTCCTCTCTAAATGGTTTTTCGAACAATTGAGAGGCTAAACGAGTGTTTATTAGTTGAACTGGTGAGAAAGACTACTGATTATTTGGCCATGGAAACAGTGATCAAAGCTTGTCAAGCATTCATTGATTACCCAAATGGAACGATTCGTAAGACGGTGCTGCAAGAATGGTGTCCGATTATTGTCACGGAAAACACTGATATTGCTAATGATAGTTGCAAACAAGTCACCCTCCGTTTCTAAAGAGAAAGAATTTTCAAAATACGTGGAGTTTCGCACAAGTCTGATTTGTTTTCAGACCTCATCGGCGGTTGTAACTAAACGGCTATCGTACCTGCGAGACCAAATATCCTAGGTTAGTGCCGGCAGTCACTATGTCCTCTCTAAATGGTTTTTCGAACAATTGAGAGGCTAAACGAGTGTTTATTAGTTGAACTGGTGAGAAAGACTACTGATTATTTGGCCATGGAAACAGTGATCAAAGCTTGTCAAGCATTCATTGATTACCCAAATGGAACGATTCGTAAGACGGTGCTGCAAGAATGGTGTCCGATTATTGTCACGGAAAACACTGATATTGCTAATGATAGTTGCAAACAAGTCACCCTCCGTTTCTAAAGAGAAAGAATTTTCAAAATACGTGGAGTTTCGCACAAGTCTGATTTGTTTTCAGACCTCATCGGCGGTTGTAACTAAACGGCTATCGTACCTGCGAGACCAAATATCCTAGGTTAGTGCCGGCAGTCACTAACAGAAAGAATCAAAATATCATCATCATCCATCACCATCGACAGCATGACGTCAGAGTTCAAAACCGATGCTTTGCTGCCGTAGAATCATGATTTATTTGAAAGCCGTATTGTGAAGAAAAGAATAAAGGTGGACGGGGAAGGGACCTACTGCTAGTCTACTACTACTACGATCATTCCGAGGTGCCCACACTTCCAAACACTCATTCAAGCAATCTGGATAGAAACTGACAACAAGATCGCCACTGACATCGGTTAGAAGCCATATCTTGCAGCGTCTCCAACCAGGCACAGTGAGGACCACGCGGTCCTCATCCTGGAAGGCGAGTAGCATCGACAGCACCCAAACGTTTCGTGATTTCTTTCATCCCCCTCTGCCAGGCCAAGGATTGGTCACCTCTCTGCTCCCGCGACTCTGAGTTGGGCATGGAAAACAGCACTCCCTTCGGCAAACAACGGCTAGGCACACGCAACACATGTCCCAACCAACGCAACTTCTGGTGCTGAACACATTCTTCAACGGAAGTATCCGTCGCACAACCGAAAACTCGCTTTCTAACTGCCTCGTTACGGATACGCCGACACCAACCCACACGAGTTGTGGTTCTTAGACAACGATTGTTGAACATCTGAAGATGTCTCAGGTCCGCTGCCCGAACAGGCTAAGTCTCACAGCCATACAACAAAACGGCCGGCACTGTAGCTTGATACACACGTCCCTTCAGATTCAGAGATAAATCATTCTGACGCCATAGGTGTCTCAAGTTAGCAACGCGACCCGAGCCTTGCAGATTCGCGCATTGACCTCATCCGTCATACTACAGTTGGAACTAATACAACTCCCAAGATACGTGAAACGCTGCACAACTTCTAGTACCTCTCCCTGGATTGTAAGTGGCATGTTCAGTAACTGCATGTCCACGAGCATGACCTTACACTGTGGGTGCAAAGTGCATACCAAAGTACAGGAGGACTTTGGTCAATTCATACAAGAATATCTACGACTTCTTTTCAGAAAAAAGAAGGATGTCGTCTGCAAATTCCAGACCGACAAGGTTTTCGTCACAGGCTATTCGAAAACCGGGGTTTTGCAGGCTTTCCAAATTTCGTCTAATGAGTTAATCGATCACAAAGTTAGAAAGGAATGGGGAGAGTGGGCATCCCTTACGGACACCATGAACATATACAGTTGTAAATCTCCGATGCCGTAGGTGGTTCCACGTTCATAGTTTAGGGTTCTACTTCACCTGTGAGCTCTAGATGAGTGTCAGCTGGTGGCCACGACAGTTGTTGTTCGAAGTGTTTAGCCCACTCGTCGAGGCGTTCTCCTTTATTCGAGATGGTCGTTCCATTCTGATGCTTGATGTTCTCACTCACAGGCGGTTTCCGGGGACCGGTCGCACGGATCAACTGAAATAATCTCCGAGTATTACCGGCTTTCTGGGCCTCTTCCATTTCTTTGGCTTTCTGTGTCTACCATACTTCACGGTCGGATCGCAAGCTCACTTTCACTTGACGTCTGATAACTCTCCGCACCGGGTTATGTTCGGGACCGGCTGGGATATTTCTCCGAGATTTAAGCAGTGCCACCGTTCGGTTCGATATCCAGCGCTTGGGTGCGCCTGGTTGGGTCGTACCACAGGCGAAATTCCCAGCACCATGCAAAGAGATGGCAATCTCGTTCCAGTATGGGTCCATATCTGATGGTGGAGCACCGGGAAGAGACTGTAGATGATTCTGGTAAGTTCGTCTAACGGATCCGGTTCTGCCAGTCTCTCAGTTTCCAAGCGATGTGTTCCCATCTTACGCGGTCCAGGTAAACGTAGGGAGGAGCGACTCCGGACGAGTGCATGGTCAGAATCCACAAATGTATTCCAAAACGACCAGTGGCCAGTTATTGATCCGCGCCATCGGTAACTGATGACAATGTGGTCGATTTGAGTTTGTGGCCGGCCTTGTTGTTGGATACCAAGTAGCCAGACGATTTCGGAAGTTCTTACTGCATAAAAACAGTCTGCAATCAGCACACAGCTGAAGCAATCCTTAACCATTGTCTGTACGTACCGAGTCCAATCCATGTCGACCTCCTAAGTGAGTCTCGAATCCGCTAAGCCCACCCACTTGCGCATTCATAACTCCGGTAACCACCACGATATCTGAGCTTTTAGCTCGCCGCAGCAGGGCATTCAGGGTGTCGTAAAACCTGTCTTTGACGGCGTCAGAACTACAGTCAGGTGGGGCGTAAGCGGACACGACAAACAGAGAGCGATCAGCTTCCCGCTTGTGAGGCTCCTTCACAGGCGTTGCCAAACGAATCGCACAAAGGCGACTATCGACAGGTATTCAGTCACGCAACGACGTTTCCGCCCAGTAAATTAAGACGATATCAACCCCTTTATATCCCGTCTCAGCAGCCTTTGGATCACCAGAGGTGCGCAGCCGCAAGCGAGTGGAGACTGACTGAGCGGTTAGCTCAATCACTGTGCTCGCATCTTGAATTCTCATTTCTGCGACATAGCACACATCAATGCCAAGCGAGTGCAGTGAGTGCAAGAACAGTTTGTTGTCTTGCTTGCTTCAGAGTGCGGATATGGACGACGGCCAGATAGAATGGATGCGGAGGCTTGAAGATTGATTTTGAGATACCAGAGGATGTCGGCGCCATGTGATGAGGTGTTGCGCGCAAAACCGATGCATGACGAACAGAGTCACCAGTCCCAAGTGCTTGGCCCAGAAGGACAGAGGTGTTAATTGGGCGGGGAGATGAGGGAGAAAAAGCATGTGAAAGAGAAAGAAGGGATGCGTCCGCAGTAGCCTGTTTTCGCCCGCCCGCCCTGCTGTATGCAGCAAGTAAGGCGACCCGGCTGACGGCCGATGCGGTATGAGTTTAGTTGTATGTGTACAGTTCACGTAAGTGGACTGCAGCAAGTAAGGCGACCCGGCTGACGGCCGATGCGGTATGAGTTTAGTTGTATGTGTACAGTTCACGGTTATAAGTGGACTGGGATACTGTCATGGCACCCACATCTAGACAGAAGGACGATTAGGGTCCTCAACAAAAGCACACCACAAGGCAGCGGTGTTTGGCGGGAAATGCAAATATATAACCATTTCGACGGAACAAACCTGGAGGACCAGAAGACTGTGTTCGTCAGACCTCTAGCCGTTAACCAACCTGGTATGAGAGACCCTGTGAGTGTCGCGGGGACACCCCCCAGTATAGTTCAATGGGTCAATGAGGTGCACAAACCGTCACACCACAGTAAGGTCCACTCTCTTCGTGACGGGAATCAAAATACGTGGAAAAGGATATCTCTCTAACCAGCTAATAAACAGGTCTTAACTTCAATGCGCTGATCCTGCAGCAAATTTAAAAGATAGTCTTCAGGTGGTTCAGATCGAATGAGTTAACAACCCGAATACCTCGCGCGCGAAAATTGTATGCGAGATTCAAAGCGAACTTTCTGTTGCGCCGATACAGATAGCCATCCATGACGTGTCTGTCATTTAGAAGCCTTTAGCAGTGTTGTCAGTTGGGAACAAATGGTTACAACAGAGCCGTCCCTACCTGGTTAGTAGGCAACACGGAACGCAACGTCCTAAAGGATGGGGATACTATCGGGAGGCGTTTATACGGACTCGATGGACTGTCATTCAGAACTATTCGCAAATTCTGGCTCCGATTATCTAATTAGTAACACGCATTGGTTTTAGCCAATACAACAGTTTAAAGCAATGGGCGACTTCGAACAGACCAGGACAACCGACGGTAAGTGCCACGATGTACTGGTAACAACAGAGCAGATTTTAAAACCAAGTGGAGCATATCAAGGGCGGCGAACCGTGTTGCTTGCTATCTGGTTAAACACCGTGCTTTTGCATTGATAACATGAAATTTGCCGGGAACACAGTACCAAGATTTCACGGGAACGAAAGCCTGTTATGTCCGAACCTGCCTGATTTCTCCACACTGGCACAATCTGTGCCGCCTGAACGAACAGATCAACGGAGGTTAGTTGAGATTGACAGTTACGGAGGGAGGGCGACGAGTTTCTGATTTTGAGGGAATTTAGCCTGTGAACAAAAGAGCGGTAGCTGGT